GACAAAATTTCTACTATTCTCATTATTATTTAACATTGCTCTGTTAGTATTTACTAACGCAATGAGGGAGAACAGATAAACAGAACAGTAGGAAATTTCTTACCTGCAGGCTATTTCATATCAACCAAATATAAAAGAGGCAATAAGGTAGCTAGCTGATTATGAAGTTAAAAATCAACAGCTCCCCTATATACAGAAAACATGCCATGACAAAATATGTAAGAAATACTCCTTTTCTAAACACTGTGAAAGACATTATATCAGAAAGATTAAATTCTCTGCAATATAAAATAAGCATTCAACATGATTTCAAACAAAATTAAAATGAAATGTGGTTAAGATTTGACAAAATGATCCAGACATATACATGTGGGAATAACTAGGAAAAACCTGACAAGAAATAGCAATTGGAAATCAAAATAGAAAGTGGTACTAAATTACACAGGTGGCTGGGCTCAGTGGCTCAGTCTGTAATCCCAGCACTTTGGGAAGCTGAGGTGAGTGGATTGCCTGAGCCTGCGGGTTTGAGGCCAGCCTGGGCAACTTGGCGAGCCTCATCTCTATAATAAATAAAAAATTAGCTGTAGTTCTGGCTACTTGGAAGTCTGAGTCGGAAGGATCGCTGGAGCCCAGTTTACTCCCACCTGGGTGACAGAGTGAGACTCCAGCTCAAAAAAAAAAAGAAAAAGAAAAAGAAAGAAAAAAAATTACACAGGCAATCCTGGGATCGGTGGCAGAGAAATTTAGCAAAAGAGAATAGAGAATCTGGAACTAGAACCACTTAATATGGCTATTTGGCATATACTAAAGGTGGTATTTGAGACTGGTAAGGAAGAAATACGTAGTGTTCAGATAAAAAGATATCTTTCTGGGAAAATCAACTTGAAACCTCTAGGCTCATTCTTTACTATGCATAGCAAGAAATATATTCCAGAGATAGCAAAGTTTCAAACTTCGAGCATAAAGGCATACAGGCACTGAACTAACATTGACTCTTATAAAATATTCCAAACACAATTTCCAATTTCACTGACAAAGGCAATGTGCCCAAGTTACAACTTCACTCCTCCGGACTCCCTGGTAGCTGAAGGGGGCATGAGGCAGCTGTGGCCAGTCAGATATCAGCACAGGGTTTTGAAGAAAGCTCAAGTTTCCTGAATACAGAGAGCCTCCGTGTCCTCTTTCCCTTCCTTCCTCCTGTCTGGTTTATAACCTACTGTTATTAGGAGGCAAGAGGCATCAGGAGGGAGGGAATTTCTCTGTTCTCTGAGAACCACTGGTTTATAATATTACTGCCTCATCTCCAACAGAGGGGAAAGATAGAAGAGTACCTCTTTTTTTTTTTTTTGAGTTGGAGTCTCACTCTGTCGCCCAGACTGGAGTGCAGTGGACGCTTCCGGCCACCGCAGCCTCGACCTGTTGGGCTTCGGCGATCCTTCCGCCTCAGCCTTCCAAGTAGCTGGAACTACAGGCGCGTGCTGCCATGCCCAGCTAATTTTTTATTTATTGTAGAGACACGGTCTCACCAAGTTGCCCGGGTGGGTCTCGAATCCACGGGCTCAGGCAATCCACTCACTTCGGCCTCCCAAAGTGCTGGCATTACAGGTTGAACCACCGAGCCCGGCCAAGTACCTCTTTTAAGAGTGCTCTAAGGATGTCAAGGAGACAGTTTGAACTTACTGATGTGAAAGGTTTTCAGAAACGGTTGGGTGTTTTCTTATTTGTGGCCCAACTGAGATCCAACTGATTCTAGTGAAGATAATCTCAGAGAGTAATACATTTTTCTAAATTTACAAGAGACCCCAAATTCATTAAACAAACACTGATTAATTCAATATATAAGCCTTAAACAATGTTGGACATTATAAACTAATAAACAGATATGCAAATTCAAGGGAGTACCCCCAAAACCTGGAATTTATCAAACATTGTACCCCAAAAAACCCAGAATTTATTTATCAAACATTGTGCATTTATTCTTACATGTTTAAACTTCGGTCACCTTCAAAGTAATCTCTGTTTGATGCAAGATACCTATCAAGGTGCTTTTTCCACTGCTCAAAACAGTTTTGAACTCGTCAATTTGGAGGCCTTTTAGTGCTTCTGCCATTTTTGTTTTACCTTTTCCATGTTGGAAAAATGTTTCCCTTCGAGGACTTCTTTCATCCGGGGGGGAGGGGGAGAAAAGTTATTTGGGGCAAGACCAGGTGAATAGGAAGGGTGGGGCACAGAGATCATGCTGTTTGGGGGCGAAACCTGTTGAACATTTAGTGTGGTGTGAGTCAGTGCGTTGTCACGGTGAAAGAACCAATTACCTGTTTGTCCCAAAAAGCATTCACTGAAGCCAAACGCAGCCTCTACAATGACACTAGCTGGTACACTGATGCCAATGGGTTCCTAGAACACTTACTTAGTTGGGGGAAGCCTGTACTACCAGGGGCCCATCCAAAGGATGATTCAGGTTTTTTGGGGTCCCCCTCGTATATGCATTTTAAAGACAAACAAAAGAATAGAAAAATATATATGAGATACATATATAAGGAGAATTGTTTAAATACATAGAACTCTTCAAAAATATGTACAATTCAAGGCCAGGCACAGTGGCTCACACCGGCAATCCCAGCACTCTGAGACACTGAGGTGGGAGGATTGCTTGAGTCAAGGAGTTCGAGAAAAGTCTGGGCTACACAGGAAGACCTTGTCTCTACAAGAAATAAAAAAAAAATTAGACAGGTGTGGTGGTGCATGTCTATAGTCCCAGTTATTTGGGACACTGAGGCAGAAAGATCACCTGAGCCCAGGAGGTCAAGGGTGTGGTGAGCTGTGACCATGCCACTACCATCCAGCCTGGGCAACAGACTGAAACTCTGACTCAACATATATACAATTCCATAGACAAGTGGGCTCTTTCTGGCTTAACCTGGAGAGTTCCTCAGCAGCACTTCTGCTGTGCTAGATTAGTTGAAGCAGTCACAAGCCCACCCAGATTCAAGTAGTGGGGCTCTGGATGCCACCTGTTGGTAAGAAGAACATCAAAGAATTTGCAGGCATGTTTTAAAACCACAAGCTGCAGCTATTGAACCTTGCAATTCCCCTTCTAGGAATTTATCCTGTAGGAGGAAGCAAAGTTGTACATAAAAGATGTCTGTAAAGGATGCTCATTCTAGCATTCATCATAACAACGGCTCTCACATTTCTGCATGACTCAGATGACCTAGAGGGCTTGTCAAAACAGATTTCTGGACACCACCCAAAGTTTCTGATTAAGAAGGTCTGGGGTGGGGTGGAGAGCTTGCATTTTTAAAAGTCTCTAGGTGATGTTTATTCTGTAGCTCTGGAAGAGCAGACTTTGAGAACCACTGATTTATAACATCGCTTCCTCAAGTTCTGTAATTGCACTTGCCTCCCCATTCCCTAAAGAAAACTTGATTTCAATATACCACAGTGGAACAGGGAGAGAATGCTGGCCTTGTTATTATCTGGCAAATGTATTCTTAGTTACCTTTTTAAAAAAAAATGAGACAGGGTCTCACTCTATTACCTAGGCTGGAGTACAGTGGTACAATCATAGCTCATTGCAGTCTCGACCTCCAGAGCTCAAGTGATCCTCCTGCCTTAGCCTCTTGAGTATAGCTAGGACTACAGATATGTGCCACCATGCTCAGCTAATTTTTTAAAAGCAATTCTGCTGGAGACTGTCTCACTATTTTGCCCAGGCTGGTCTTGAACTCATGGCCTCAAATGATCCTCCTGCTTCTGCCTCCCAAAGCACTGGGATTATAGGCATGAGCCACTGTGACTAGTCCTAGTTACAATTTTGATAGAAAATTCTGGGCAGCCGAATGTTAAGTTCTAACCTTCTAACCTCAACCCAGAGTCACAAAGTAAGATCAGTGTGACAGTTGAAATAGGAGGGTGTCGAAGAAACTTTGTTTCCCTATACTCCTTAACCTCCAAGAAAAGGTATATTCATGGCCAATGTCACTCCTCATCCCCTTTCCTTAGTTACTCCAAGCTTTATAGCCACCACAGAACCTGTTACTAACTTGGCAGGCACAGCAATACTAGAAGTAGCAACTTTTCTAGATTATGAACCATTTCTATACTAGGAAGCCTGAATTTCCCCTAACGGTGGTCTTACACTGTCTACTTGCATGTATTTGAAGGCTGTCCTCTTTTGTTTTCTGGCAATTCTTGACCTTTACTGATACCATTTATTTGGCAATATTATACCCTAAAACATAGAAGCAGCCTATGGGGAAGAACGGGGTTAATCCTTCAGAACATCGAAGAATGCTCCTGTATTACTTTCTTTTATTATTATTTTTATTTTAAATATGTGGGGTACAATTCAGGATTAGGTATACAAATTCCTGCATTACTTTCTCTAAAGGACTGACATAGTCACTTCCTTAATTCAGAACTCTCCTCAGTGCTCATTTCATGATTTACACGCCCCTTACCTCATACCAGTTTCCTTTAGCAGATTTATGTCTCCTTCTCCCTATAAGAAGTCTGTGTTCCAGGTCTTTTGAGGTATCTCGAGTTTCTCCAAATATGTACTGTGCAGTCTACCCTTGCATAAATGCTGTTTTCTTGCCCTGAAAGTTCCTCCCCAGGAATTCTGACCTATGCTCGACATGTGGCACAGGCTTCTCCAGGATGACCTCCTGCTGTTGGAAAGGGTGCTGTACTCCTCTGTAATCCCATGGCATTACGGACACTTGTCTTATATGATGAGTATCTGTCTCCTACAGCAGTGTAAGTTCCTTGAGGACAGAGATCACATGCTTCCCTTGAGGGGTCAGCACAATGCCTCGGAGCTCAGCATCACAAGAGACTTTAGGGAAGCACACACCAGACACAGGCATGCAAAAATACACATGTCCTTTCAAAATGAGCCACTGAAATTCAAACCTATGATATGAAACCTGAAAAAGAACTATGTCATAGGCCCCACAGGTTTTAAAGAATATGCAAATAAAGCAAGTGTTTCTTACTTTGAGCTGTAGTCGCACCCTGGCCAAAAAGAATTTCCAACAGTTTTCTCTGGAGTCCACCATGCCCAGACCACGAATTTCATTACGAATTCCAGAAATTATCTTGTCCATATCTTCATCACTGAACATATCTGGGATTTCTCCTGTCCCCAAAAGAATGTGTAGAAATACTGAAAGTTTGTCACAATTTAAACTTTAGATATGACTTTTTAATGTTTGAAATGCTTTATAAGACAAAGTTCAGCTTAAATGATAAAAAAAAGAAAAGTCTTTTTTTTTGCATTTATAGGACACATAACACATAGAGAATAAGCAATGATGAACACGCCCTCTAAACTCATACATGTAGGAATAACATTGACTTTACTTGAAGGCCTTCTCGTCCATAAGCAGACGAAGAAAGCAATATACTTCAAATTAGTTAGGTTTATAGTTCTCCCTAAAGACTGCTCCAGCAAATATCTCAAAGACAAATTATCTCTCTTTAAAGTTCACTGAAATTCCAGATAATTTGTCATTGGGGAAGATCTTTCAAGAAATGTGTTGGTTTAATCACCTGATGCCAGCAAGTCATTAATCAGCACAAGGAAGCTTTCATCTAGAACCTGGGCATCTGTCAGCAGGAACACAGTGGGCATGTTCTTGGCTCCGGTTCTGATGTACAAATTGGCAAGATCTACCTGTAAGGAAGGGCCATCATTCATGTTTTGTTAAAATGCTGATGCGGCATTGGGAGGATGCGTGTGAGCCCTGGGAGAACTGAGTCACTACAATGCCACAGCAGTGTGTGCTGCCTTCCCACAGTTTACTTATTCTTTCCTCTCAGGGACCCCATTATAGGGGAAAACAGAGTGGCGCCACCTCCATTTCTGGCACATAATGATGAGTGTCACATTTGTGGCTTAATGGAACAGAGGGGTGGAAACAGGCTGCTGATCAACACCAACTTCCTTTTAGAAGAGTGAGGATCAGTGATGCCTTTGTCCAGCAATGCAGTACGAGAAAGTCTGCTCATTTCAACAACCATCCTATTTCACTGAAAATAGTTTTTGATTATTTATTTGGTTAGTAATACCAAAAGCATATGATTTCATAAATGTAAAATACTATTTGACAAACTTGACGTACTATTGGGATGAAAAAGCAAAACTTGAAAAATGCACGAGAGTTTCTTGAACATTGTCACTCAGGCTGGAGTGCAGTGGCACCCTCGTGGCCACTGTAGTCTCGCCCTGCTGTTCTCAGGCCATCCTTCTGCCTCAGCCTTCCAAGTAGCTGGAGCCACAGGTGCCACCACGTCCAGCTTATTTTTTTATTTATTGTAGAGACGAGGTCTTGCTAAATTGCCCAGGCTGGTCGCGAACCTTAGACTCTGGCAATTCATTCATCTCTGCCTCTCAAAGTGCTGGGATTACAGGCGTGAGCCACTGTGTCTGGCACGTGCTAGTCTCACTGCATTTTCTTCTCATTTTCTTATCCAAAAATGGAAGAAGTCTATTTACATTTGTAAGGGAATACCTCCTATTCCATCCCCAGCCCCATTTACCAAACGAGCATGAACAGTGTCAGGTATCAGGCTTGGTTAATACAAAGTAAAAACATATTTGTGTGAGCAAGTGTTTAATAAATTATGTTCTGAACCAGGTTTGCATGTTATTAAATTTATAAGAATTCGGAGAAATGTATTATTGCTAATTTGACCATAAAGACAAACAGTCAAAGGTAATTAACACCTTGAAAGAGCTCCCCTTTCTCCCACAGTTGAAGGGGTGCCTTGGTCAAATCTAGGAGTCACAGCCAACATGGCCACTATCAGCTTCTGCTGTGTCTGCCAGACAGAAGAGTGAGGAGAATCGCCTGCCCCCTTTCACTCACCAGAAGCTCTTGGATTCCATAGCCTTCCGTCAGAGTGATCTGAAAAACCTCAAGGCTGCAGATATAAGCTGCCAGCCTAGACAAGCTCTGCTTGCCACTGCCCCCGACTCCAATCAAGAGGGCAAAACCCTGAGGAGTTCGTAAGATCCGACTGATGCGACACCTGGGAAAAGAGAGAGCCCCAACAACAACATGGAATCTCAAACGCCCAGGATGGTGCTAGTTTTGTTTATTCTGTAGCTAAATATTTAGAGACTAAATTCCAATTTTTATTGCAAATCTTTAGTCCTTGTTCGTTTGTTTCCCATCAAACAAAGATGCTGCTTGCATCTTTGCCCAGCAAACCTTCCTATGCTAATAACATTTTGGACTCTCTCATGGCTTTATGACTCACCACCAAAAGTCAAAAAAGAAAATATACAAAGACCTTGGATCTAAGTTTCAAAATTTTTTAATAGGCAACAAAGATTCCAATTCCACATCAGAATCCAAGTATGAGGACTTCAAATGGGGAAGGAATATCCTTATGTCAGAAATCTTTGCTATAGAATTACTTAGGAAAGAAAAGATTTGTCTAGACCAACAAATATCTCCATGTGATTTACTCTCAGACAAAACCCTCCTTCTTAGTATGAGTCTTACTTCCTTCACACTACAAATTTCCCTGTGACTTCACCATTCTAGAATAATTTGCTGAAGTCATTCAGTATCACAAAGTTAAATTTCCAGCAAGACTGATTAATTCCTTGTTCTATAGTATCCAAGATATTCTGAATGCATAATCTATTGATATTATTGCTACATTTTATGAATAAATTGGTCTTGATAACAACAAACTATGGGTTTGGTTGAAAAATATATCATAATTATGTTTTGATAAATTATATTAAGGAAAAAAACAAAATATAAACATGGGGAAATCTAAATACCAAAAATCTGATGCCATCACCTTTAGGTTACTTTTCTGAAATGAACTTAAACTTCAGACCCTAAATGATCTACATAGATTTTTTTTTAAAGAGCATTTTTTGAAAACACAAAGTTGGGTTCACTTATATTAGGACTAGCATGTGTGACTATTTCTTGAAACCCTCCAATAACCAAAAAGACAGGTTATTTTTATAAGTTCAGTCATCCCATTACATTTTACTTACATGACCACGAAACAAAACAACCTTGGGGAAAGCTATAAAATTACTCTGACATGAGAGAAACCCCAAGCTATAAAGCAGGGTTTCATTTCATTTTAATGTATGCTTTGAGGTTTTTAACCTCGCAGGATTCTCTAAGTGGCAAAGTCCCTTTCTACAACACTCAAGGACACGCTCTTAAATCACCTCTAATGCTGAGTAAATCGGCTTCTAGCTCATAATCCCTGATCAAAGAAACAGCCTTACCTTTTAGGCCTCTGAGAATTCTGTACTGAGGGATTACATGAGGAAACGCTTGTCCTCGGTGTCAATGGGAGGTTTGTTTCACTCGAGCCACCATGCACATACACAGTGAGTGTGTACTAACCAGACCAGAAATAATATGACTAATAATTCATTTAGCACCATGGTCATAGATCCCAACTAAAACTTCCTGTGTCTGTATAATTAGAGGAGGACTTTTCAACTGCAAAGGGATCAGTAAAACAATCAACACTTAGTAATCATATAACAATGGATGATGAGAAGGACTCCAAAATTTTCCTAGGCATCGGTGCTAAACATTTTAATGAGTAACTCTTCTCAAAATTGAATCTCCACATCGTTTTTCTCTGCTTGAATTTTCTTCTTTCCTACTTATTGTTTATTTATTTATTTTTATTTTTTAGAGGTAGGGTATTGATTTGTGGCCCAGGCTGGAGTGCCGTAGCTCAATCATTGCTCACTGCGGCTTTGAACTCCTGGCTCAAGTGATCCACCTGCCTCAGGCTCCTGAGTAGCTGAGACTACAGGTAAACCATCACACCTGGTTAATTAGAAAATTTTTTTTTTTAGAGATAGAATCTCACTACATTGGTCAAGCTGGTCTTGAAACCCTAGCCTGAAGGCATCCTCCTATCTTGGCCTCCCAAAGCACTAAGCTTGCAAGCATGAGCCACCTCATCCAGCCCCTTCTTTTTTTTTTTAAATGATGATTTCTTTCTTTCTTTGAAAAATTTTTGCCCATTGTCACTAGGCCAGTGAGATATGATGGTGACTGGGACTAGGAGAGTAGTACTGGATGTGAAGATGTGGTAGACTTTCCACACGGCAGCAGGAATGATGAACTGTTAGGTTATACAAGTAATCGTATCACTCCCATGCCAAAATGTAGCCAACAGCTTCACCCTGTAAAATACAAACTCCTTATCCTGGTTACAAGGAAATATCCTGCATAAGTAAGGCCAGTTCCTGCCTCTCCATCCTTGTCATGCTTTTCTCTATGCTGCAGACACCCTGAACCACTTTTCAGTTTCTCAAACATTCCTGCCTTGGGGTCACATGTACTCTGCCCTTTGTCTAGAATGTTCTTTCTCTGGATCTTTTCATGCCTAACTCTTCCTTATCATTTAGGTTTCACTTTAAATGCCACCTCTTCACATCGATATTCGGTCCTTTTTGGGAATCCACATATTTTGTTTATTAAAATCAACCTATTTTATTACTTGGCATGACACATTCCTTTCTGATATTTTTCTTGCATATTCTCTTGCTTATTTGTTCATGTCCTTATAAAAGTCCATCTGCATCACTAACATGTAAGCTCTATCTGAGAGGAGACTGGACTGTGTTGTTTGCTGCTATATCCCAGGACCTAGAACAATGTCCAGTGGGAAGGGCTATGGATGGTTGCATAGCTTGGGCTCTGAACAACATACCCAGTCTCAGAGATCAGTGAGAGCCCTGTCAGCCATGGTTTACCCAAGGACAGGGGCCCTTTTCTGATTTTCTTCCAAGAAAAACATGAACCACCCTCCTTTTTCCCCCTAATTTGCCTCAAAGTGCTAAAGTGGCTGGCAGTGTTCCTATGTGGCACTGCACTGATACTCAACAAAACCTGCTTAATCAATGAAAATCGGTTTGAATCTGTTTTTCCCATGTATAAACTACATGATTTTGAACAAATGATTTACGTTGCCTCTTTTTTTTTTTTTGAGTCGGAGTCTCACTCTGTCACCCAGGTTGGAGTGCAGTGGCATGCTCATGGCCACTGCAGCCTTGACCTGCTGGGCTCAGGTCGTCCTTCTGCCTCAGTCTTCCAAATAGCTGGAACTACAGGCATGCACTATCACACCCGGCTAATTTATTTATTTATTTATTGTAGAGACAAGGTCTTGTCAAGTTGCCCAGGCTGGTCTTCAACTGGCAGCCTCAGGCAATCCGCTCACCTGGGCCTCCCAAAGTGCTGGGATTACAGGGTGAGCCACCAAGCCCGGCCACCTCTTTCTTAATATTCAAGTGAAATAATGACTGTGATAGCATTTCAGAAAATAGTGTGCCTATGTAAGACATTATTAAGATTGTGATATCATAGCAACCCCTTTATGTTTTTGCATTATGTGACAAACTATAGGTAAGAGGTGGTAGCTCAGAGTTCTTATTCTTAGTATGTTCTATGGAAATATCACAATTGTGGATACGCAGCCATTCTTACTTTCATGGAAAAGCATCGTGACTAGTCAACTCACACATGTTGCATAGCGTCCTCAAACAGGACTAGGTGCATGGCAGCATGGAGCTCATTGTAGTTGTCTAAGGTTTCTGTGAGAGTCGTCTTCAGCACTTCCCAGTCCTTCACTGGCATGTAACATGGGTCCTGCCTCCCATGAGCGAAGTGGCAATAAACGAGGGGTTGTTGAAGCAGCATATGACTGTCTACACCCTGCAGGATGAGAAAGAGAAAAACATGGTATAACAATCACCTGGAAAGATTCATCGGGGGCAGAGTGGCCTATCGAGGGAAAAGCTGGCAGATCCATTCATGAGTAGGTGGACAGGATGTTCCTAAGTACAGACCAAGCATATTCTAGAATAACAGCCATTGCAGAAAGGTAGGCCCCTTTACTCACATCCTATCTAACTTCAGCAACAATACCAGTGGGTGCCAAAGCAAGCAGTGACCTCAGACGTTCATACACTTACTTCAAAATATTTACTAGCAGTTTCCAGCATTTTTTTCTGAAACAAATTACAGTCTTTTGTGTCTGTCAGTTTGTCTCCATAAACACGGGAAGATTCATGAAGCCACAGGCGAACTAAATCATCTGGACCTTTTAAACACTCAGGAGAAGCAAATAAAATCCCCTACAGGGCAAGAATGGGGAAAATACCTTTAATTCAGAAGCTGATGAGATTCCAAATATGTTTTTCTTTAACATTTTAAAAACCAAATTTAGCAAGTTGTTAAGTTAGAAGTATCACAAACTTAGCAAGCTGTTAAGTTAGAAGCAACACAAACGGTAACATTTGTGCTTGTGTGTAAAGTAGGTTTGGCCTTTGGTAAGCAACACTTAACATTTTTAATATCATTGTACTCATTTTTAGGTATGCAACTAAATCTGCATTTCAAGAGTCAGTCCAAGCGCTTTCAACCACAGCTGAGTATTTGTGCCTCATAAGTCTTACAATAGACTAAGTTTACAGAACCAAAGTATACACAGCTAGCATGGAAGCTACACAATCATTTTTTTTACTCTAGAATCATTTTATATCAGGTACCTCTAACATCTTCACCTTACAGATGAAGAATATGAGGCCAAAATTAAATTGCCCAAATTCACACTCTGCATAGATCTGGGTCCAGCACTGAAGCACTTTGACATCCATGCCCACTCAATCCTGCCTTCGGTTTCTTGGATTCATAGACACCCTCTCCTCGCGGAGAGTGTCAGCTTGCCCTGGACCCGTAGGAGAAAACCGAGGGAGTTGTGGAGAATTAATCTGTAAAATAAAAGACTGAAAAACTATTTGGTGGTGTCAGGCATAGCTGACAGACTGGCTGTGAGGGGTGAGCAGGCAGGCCTCTCATCCCATTTCACCAGGGGCTTCTCTTTCCTTTTGTAAAAAAAAAAAAAATCTGCTTTTAAATAATGCTTTATTAAGCATAGTCTGCCTGGAAGGTGCTAGATATGCAGACGTGAAAAAAAAAAAGGTCTGTGCTCTTAAGAAGCGATTGTCTAATGCTGTTCCAGTTTTGAGGCAGTTGTGGAGTGATTTTGAGAAGAGGGTTACAAAAACATAAAGAAGTCCTATGAAGTCTTCCTCTCTCTAAGCCTACCTCCCTCTAAGCCATAAATAACTTTCCATCTACTTCTACTGTGCATTAGTTGGAGTTTTGGGTTTTTTTTTTTCTTTTCTTTTTGAGTCGGAGTCTTACTCTGTCGCCCAGGCTGGAGTGCAGTAGCCTGCTCACAGTCAGCACATCCTCTACCTGCTAGACTCAGGCGATCCTTCTGCCTCAGCCTTCCAAGTAGCTGGAATGACAGGTGTCTGCTACCCTGCTAATTTTTGATTTATTGTAGAGATGAGGTCTCATCAAGTTGCCCAGGCTGGCCTTGAACCCGTGGGCTCAGGCAATCCCCTCACCTTGGCCTCCCAAGGTGCTGAGATTACATCTTGAGACACCACACCTGGCCTAGTTGGAGTTTTTTTTTTCAAACTCAGACTTTCAATTCCCTCTCCAAATATCCTGAACCAAATATATAAACACTCTCCTTTGACTAGGTAAACAAGGTAATTTTCAAAATCAAACCAAAATAATCCAACAATTTTTAAAATGTACAGTTTCTCTTCAAGTATGTTAAAAAATCACACAGGAATGTCTTATGCAAAACCATGACCAATTATCCTTCTTACTTGGTTTCTACCATTGCTTCCATGGCTAAGTCGCTACATATCATGGTCAATTCATGTGTTGAAACTTAATTGCCAATATGACAGTATTAGGAGGCCGGGCCTGTAAGAGGTGATTAAGTCACGAAAGCAGAGTGACATTATACAAGAAGTGCTAGGTATTTGCCCCTTTTGTCCTTCTGTCTCTTCTGCCATGTGAGGACACAGTGCCTAAGGCACCATCTTTAAGGCACAGACTGGTCCCTTACCAGGCACCAGATTTGTCAGTGTCTTGATCTTGGACCTCCCAGCCTCCAGAACTCTGAGAAATAAATTTCTATTATTCATGATTTACCCAGTGTCAGGTATTTTGTTATAGCAGTACAAATGAACTAAGACTCTCTATGACCTGAGGAGAATCACTGTTCTTATTGGTAAAATGGGAATAATAAACCTATCATATTTACTTAATAGAGAAGTTTACGAGTACAAAATGAAAGAACACATATAAAAGTATGTAGCATAGTTTTAAGCCAAGTTCTAAAAGTGAACATCATTCATAGTACTATAATTATTTTTCTACTCAACAGGCATAACATAGCAGTCAAGGTACCTGGAAGACATTTGTGAGGTCTCTCAGATTAAAGATGTAGTGGAATTTAACAGCTGTGGGTAAAAAGTTCTGCATCATCATCTGATGGAAAGCTATCATTGCCTGGATCAAAATGGGGCCACTTCTGAGAAGTGATGGACCAAAACTTTGTTGCTGGAAATGGAAACTAAAGATTTGGCCATAGATGGTGTTTAGTGCATCCAAGGACGGGAAGTTGAATGCAAACACTGTAAAATGTCTCTGAAAAGAAAAACAAATATAAGAGTATAAAACAGAGGTTACAATTGCCCCCTTTGTTCTTCTGTTTCTTCTGCCTTGTGAGGACATAGTGCTTAAGAAAATTGTAGGGGACACAACATCAATAAGCGTACCTGATCTCAAACCAGGCAAAATGGGGACCAAAGTGAGGTCCAAACTTTACCTATATGATGACCACTTGTATCCTGATCCTGAATTGTACCTCACATCTTTAAAATTAAAAAGAAAATTGTAAAAAATGACCTGATTCTTTTCCCTTCTCCTTGTATCCAGGAACACTGGCCATGTAACATTTTAGTGCCTTCCACTCTGAGTTGGGGCTCAGCCATGTGACTTGATTCAGCCAGTAGAATGAGGTGGAAGTAACAGTGCACCAGTCATTGTCAGAGGCACGTGTGTTACCACTTGCTTTGTTAAGCCCCTGCCTTTGCCATGAACTCTACAGGCCTGCTAAAGGATAAGAGACACAAAAAGCAGAGTTATGTTGTCCCAGTCACTCCAGCCAAAGCCACATCAGTTTAACTGACAGGCAGTTCACTCCCAGACAGTCAATAATGGGCCCAGCCAAGATCAGCAGAGTCACCTAACTTACTCTCAGCTGACTGCAGATAAGTAAGTGAGCAACCATTTCATTGTCTGCTGTGGTTGTATATACAAGGATGTTGGTGGAAGCTGTCATTGTTATTGTTATTAAAAAGCTTATATGCACACACAAAAACCTGCACAGAAATGTTTATAGCAGCTTCATTCATAACTGCCAAAATTTGACAGCAGTCAAGGTATCCTTCAGTATGTGAATGGATAAACAAACTGTGATTTATTCCTACAATGACTATTACTCAGTGATTTTTTTTTAAAGAGCTATCAAACCATAAAAAGATATGGAGGGAATTTAAATGCATATTACTAAGCTATGTGAGAAAAAAATCTATCTGAAAAGTCTACATACTATATGTTTCCAACTAAATGATATTTTGGAAAAGGCAAAATTATGCAAACAGTAAAAAGATCAGTGCTTATGAGATTAACATACATAATACACAGAAAACTCCTAAAACTCAATAACAGAAACAAAATAACTCAATTCAAAAATGGGCAGAAGACTTAAGTAGACATTTCTCCAAAGAAGATACAAAAAAATATGGCAATAAGCATATAAAAAGATGCTCACCATTGCTAAACATTGGGGAAATGCAAACCAAAACTACAATGAGATACCACCTCACATCTATTAGCATAGCTACTATAAAAACATAACAAAACAACAACAACAAAAAACAAACAGAAAATAAGTATTGGCACAAAATGTGGAGAAGTTGGAACCCTTGTGCCTTGTTGGTGGAATAAAATAAAACATGGCTGGAATGGAAAACCGTATGGTAATTCCACAAAAAAAGTAAAAATGGTATTCCTGTGACTCAGTATTCTATTGCTGGGCATATACTACCAGAATTAAAGCAGGGTTTTGAAGAGATATTTGTTCATTCATGTTCATAGAAGCATTATTCACATTAGCTAAATGTGGAAGCAACCCAAGTGTTCACTGATGAATAAATGACTAAGGAAGATGTGGGACATACATAGAATAGAATAAGAATTAGCATTAAGTAGGAAGGAAATTCTGCTATATGCTACTACAGGGGTCCCCAACCCCTGGGCACAGACCAGTACCCAGTTAGGAACTGGGTTGCACAGCATGAAGAAAGCAGAGCTCCATTTTCTGTCAGATCAGCAGCAGCATTAGATTCTCAAAGGAGTGAGAACCCTATTGTGAACTGTGCATATAAGAGATCTAGGTTACATGCTCCTTATGAGAATCTAATGCCTGATGACTGCCCCCACCCAAGTCTGTGGGAAAAAATTGTCTTCCACAAAACTGGCCCCTGATGCCAAAAATGTTGGGGACCACTGAGTTACAACATTGATGAACCTTGAGAATATTATGCTAAGTGAAATTGCTAGAGACAGAGAATAATGGTGGTTGCCAGGGTCTGGCAGGAAGGAGAAAATGGGGGAGTTATTGTTTAATGGGTATAGAGTTTCAGTTTCATAAAATGAAAAGAGCTATGGAGATGGATGATGGTGGCTGGACACAGTGGCTCATGCCTGTAATCCTAATACTTTGGGAGGCTGAGGTGGTCATATTGCTTGAGCCCAGGAGTTTGAGATCAACCTAAGCAACATAACGAGACTTTGTCTCTACAAAAAATAAAAAATTAGCCTGGCATGGTGGTGTGTGCCTATAGTCCCAGCTATGTGGAATCCTGAAGCAGGAGGATCGCCTGAGCTCAGGAGGCTGAGACTGTGGCAAGCTGTCATTGTGCAGTTGCATTCCAGCTTGGGCAATAGAGAAAGACCACTCCTCCCAACTCAAAAAAAAAAAGAGATGGATGGTGGTGCTGGTTGCACAACAGTTAACATCATTGAACTGTAACCACTTAAAGTGGTTAAGGTAAAAAATTTTATATAACATATATTTTACCACAATAAAAAAATTAAAGACAAAAAATCCATTGTTGCCAGGAATTTGAGGGATAGTGGAGTAGGAATCGACAGAGCACAGGGATTTGGAAGCAGTGAAATTATTCTGTATGATATAGTAATGGCTGATACTTGTCATTATACATTTGCCAAAACCCATGAAGGTATAATAGAGAATGAACCATGATTTAAACTCTGAACTTCAGTTAATAATAATGTATTAATATTGGTTTGTCAATTTTAACTATCCTAAAATGCTAGTAATAGGGAAAAACAAGGGGTGGGAGTGAGGGATAGACGGGATTCTTTCTTCTTTCAGCTCATTGTACTGTAAACTTAAAAACTGTCAAAAAAGTATTGTCTGCTAATTAAATAAAAAAGTTTATGAAACTCTTGTGCATTGTTGGTGGCCATAAAATATTGTACAACTGCCATGGAAAACATGCTTAATCAAATGCCCCATAGGAATCATAATATGTACTCAAAAGTAGTAAGAATCAGGATGGACATTCTCTGAGAGCAGTGCCCAAAACCCTACCTGTAGCCTGGGATTGATGGTGAAACTGCCCACCATGGGATTCATGCAGGCAACATACTGGCAGCCATGGATTTCTTTAAGCATCACCTTCTGTCTATCATACCTGAAAGACAGAAAATAGAACCTTCAATCCCAAAACTGGAGATGACAAAACAGCAAAATATACGAGTTCATGAAGGACTTCATAAAATGTATATCCAGATTGTCTCCTTATTTTTTATAACCGCTCTGTGAGGATGGCCTTGCTAGCCTTATGCAAGAGAAATCAAAACTGAAGATCAGAAAACTGAAGGTGGCATTGCTCCTTTGGTGCCAAAATCAAGATCTGGAATTGAATCAATATAAACTATAACTGATGGTTTGTTCTCATGTTATTCTATTTCTGATTAGAAACTATTTTTAATGGAAATAATAGAAACCAGGGACACCAATAAGGGAACTGTGGAGGGGGATTAGGGTTCAGGAATTACCTACAAGATACAAAGTTCAACACTTATCTGAGGCCCAATCCCTACAACTACACAATATGTCCATGTAATGAACATGTATGTACCCCTGAATCTAAAAAATAAAACAAAAAACCCAGAGAAAACAGAAAAGACACTATTTAGTACCCACAGCAAGACTCTGTGGATGGGCTGGGGGCTCTCCCAGGAGTTATTGTCAGGGATTGCAGACTGCATGACCCAGGTGTTACCAAATATTTATAGCCTTTGAAATAGGATCAAGCTTCTCTTTAATAATTTAGTGTGAGTTATTTCTTAAGGAGGACATGATTTCTGGACAGTCTTAGCATTCCTAGGTTACTTTCTAATCCAATCCACCAAAGATACAAAGGGAAGTTATTCCACTTAATATGATGAAAAGGAATAAAAAGTACACCCAAGAGGTATTCCAGAAAATTTTCCTCAGAAAAGTAAGAAATTGGGGGTAATCCCATTTTAAAATGTTTATCCATCGTAATAATTAGATTTTGGTAGTTAATAAAATAGAGAATTGCTTACCAATGTCCATAATCAACATGCTGTCGAATCAGAGTGTGAGGCTGAACAGTGCCATATAAGTCCACCTCAGGCATGTTCATGTCGTCAATAAAATAAACCAATTTTTTATTTCCCACTGGACCATAGTTACGACCAGCTTTTTTCTCTAGGGGTTTCTCAAGAATTCCTGAAATAAATATACAATTCTGTCCACCAATCTTGGATAGAATATAAGCTTTTTGCCTGTCATTCTTTCTTCCTATTCTCTCCCTCTTCTGTTGGTTTCCTTCAACCCATGCTTTCAGACATCACCTCTTCACCAGTTAAGACACCAGTGATGTGTCCCTGACCACCTCCTTCTATGTCATGCTCTCCTGCCAACCTCCCTCCTGTGGCCAGGGGTCACACTTCCTGTCCTTTTCTAAGAACCACAACGCATGCAGCATAATATCACATTGTCCATCACAGCAGCAACCACTCCCTGCTGACCGTGCACTTTCCTCCCCTGTGCCCACTCTAATGTATGGTCACTGTTCATTCAGCCATAGCCTGGTCTCTCAGTCTTTCTCCAACACTCTCACTGGAGAGTCTAGGAACAGCTCAAGCAAGTCTCTCACACCTCACTTAGGCCACTGGAGTGCAGAAGGATTGGGTGACTGGATATGTAGACACTGTGTATTCATAAAGTTATATTTCTTCATGTGCCTATAAGACTTTGTATCTATACGTTGGAGAGAAAGTCATGGCGCAGAAAATCCTGAACAGTGTGTGCCTGAGACACAGCATCTAATTACTTGTTGACGCTCCAAACAGACTATAAATATCTTCAGGCCAAAGAACGATGTCATATTCACTGTTGTATCCCTGATGATGACCACAACAAATAAGTAATTTGTTAATGAATACATGAGTGAATGGGCAAACAGAGAATTGTACAATGAATAAAAGAACGCCTTTTTTTCCAAGAGGCAGACCCAAATTTCCAAACGCTTGCTGGACATCAGTTTTCAAAAGCAATTGGCACCTAATGTTCAGCCAACACTAAATCTTCCTCTTTCCAAACTCAATTTAACATCATCTCTTCCCACCTACAACCCATCTCCGTGTTTCTTAATACTCTCCTGTCAGCCAGATGCAAAGCCTCTCAGTAATCTCTCTCCTGGTGTCCTGTATGCCCAATTACAGCCTATAAATTGTGACTCAAATTCTTTCCATGTGTTCCTAATTGCCACCTCCTTTTCAACAACTCCGGTCCAGGGCCATGTTACATTCAATTCAGCTAGTACACTACTTAGGGGAACTGGTCATCCCACCTCAGATCTCTCCTCCCAAAAGATGGCTCACATCTTGTCAGTTCATTACTCCCCATCAATGGTTTACCACTTCCTACCAAATAAAATACAGTGCTTTTAGCTTGTGCTTCAGAATTCTCTATGATCTGGATGATCAACTATCCCAGGTTGCCTGGGGCTGTTCCAGTGTTAACACCAAAAGTCCCATGTCCCCCCAAACCCCTTGGCAAGCTGGACAGTGGGTCGCTCTCTCTGTAGTATAACTCCAGTTCAGAACCTTGGCCTTTGCCCCATCTTTTCCACACATCACTGAGGTTCAGTCATCACAGAGATTCAGTTCATTGACTATGTCCCACAATCTCACCTCTTCCATGTGTTTGCTTAAGCTGGTTTTCCTAGTCTAATCTCCTTCTTTATTCATTTATCACCCTATGTAAATTGCTTGAAATCCTAACTCTCAAAGTACACTGACAATGTTGCCTAGTAGTACACTCATACTAATAGGCAATCTCAAAATCTTATTCCTACCTGTATCCCTTTATGGAATTAGCAAGATGCACTCACCTTGAAGCCAAACAATTTATTCAGCTACTGAATTGTAGCCTAATCTTCCATTTACAAGGCACAAAGAGAGTCTTTCCTTTATGCCTATGAATGAAGGACATATATCCCCACACAATGCCTGGGAAAGAGTAGATAAATAACCTGTGTATGCTGAAGAAATGAATGAAATAATGCTGAATTGGCTTTCTAATGGTTCTGTTCACAAAGGCAAGTAAGCAAACTGAGAAAGAGATTACAAAAAAAATCACTATTGACTGAGTTAATGGTGCTGATAAATAAGAAAATGTATTATTATTCTCCACTGAAATAGCTAAAACAACAACAACAAACATATATTCACAATACACTCCCAGAACCCACATTCAGGTGCAACTCAACAGCAGTTCAATAAATGACAAGACAATAGAGAGTTTCGCTGTCCCCACAATAGAACCTCATTACCCTGCTGAGCAATGTAGGCCTTCCAACATCAGCTCTTCTTGTGATTACCCCCATTCCCTATAGCTACTTTGCTCAGCCTTCCTGACTCTGGGAATGCCCCACATCTGTGTGGTTCTTTTGATTACACTGATATAGTTATTCAATAGTTCAAAATTATCCTTAGAGTTCTTTTAAGGTGTAATTAATGGCTCATTTCATCAATACAGTTTTAATGAATTTCTCCCAAATCAGTGCCTTAAAAAGTAACCTGAGCATACTTCCTCGAGTATGTCCTCACATCACTAGGGATCCACACAATTCATTAAAGGTAACCAAATGGCTTTGAGGCAACACATTAATACTGTGTATGTAAACGCTTGTTATTCTAAAGGATAATAACCCAAATAAAGTCATGAGTGATGTAAAAAGTCCAAATCACAACAATATTTAAACAAAGTATTTTTACCCAGGATGAGGATAAGTAAAAATTCATCTGAGGCCTAAGCAAAAATCTCTAAATCTTAAGTAAAATGTTAGTCTGTTTGGGCTGGATGTCCCTGCCTTGATGGGTTTTGATCTCTTGCATCTGGAATAGAAGCAGGAGAAGCACTCACGTTGCAGAGCTGCGGACGTTGTGTAGTAGTTGAAAGGCACACGAGATACCACGTAATCCTCAGAGAGACTCGCCAGCGTGTCATTCACAAAGACTGTTTTTCCCACTCCCGCATTTCCTACTAGCATTAGCGGTTTTCGTTTCTCAAGCAACAACTCAATAAAATATTTAAGACGAGTTGTCTCTGATGTGTGAACCAGAACTGTCTGGGCGGGGGTGCAAAAAAACAGAATGAGACAAAAGGTCAGAGAGAGACATTCTGAAAGTTTGCATCTGACTCAACATAGTCATTCTTAGTTCAGGATAATTATCAGTAAGACAGATGCTGTCTAATTTTCAGTTTGAAAGTGTCAGAGGTTAGTCATTATAGCTTAAGTAAACCAATGGGATAACACCGTCAAAGTGCCATAGCATATGCAGTGATTTATCTTTTCCAAATTAAGCACCACCTCCCCAAGGCCCCTTATCCTAGAATACCTACTCTCTGCCCAACCTTGAGTCAGGCGTGGAAGGGAATATAGCAAACGTATAAGAAGCTACCACAGCTCTTAAGGAGCCGACAAAATGTTTGAAGAGTCAACCCACACACAGTGAGTACTGGGACCAATGCCTTGACCTGGTGAGATTAAATGGCGCAATGATTCAATACTAATCTATGCTAAAGGAACTCAGTGTGGGAAGAGATCAGTTTAGGGAGAAACAGTGGTTTTTAAGTATTCAGAAATCCAAAGCACTATTGAAACTTACTTTGCATTGCTTTGTTAAAAATTAAAACTGGATTATTTTTATATTTTTTTAAATGGCTATTTATATACCATATTGCTGACAGGAATAACATGAAATGAGGAACACAAATAAACAAGAATCAGACTCAGAGGACACAAATTAAAATACAAGATCAGGGCAAGTGGGAGTAGGTATAGATATGCAGGAAACAGAATTCTGTACAATGATTAAACGATAGCTCATTTCAGGTTTTGGCACCCAAACAAAACAAAAAATACACAACAAAATATCGTTGACAATCTGGTTGCATTTCTGGGTGCCCAAAGTTAAAAGGAGAGGAAACTACATACACGATTCATATTGTTCATAAGAAATATACATACATTGTATAATGAATAAAGTTCTTCTCTATGTGGTTAGCATATATTGAACACAACCAAATACTTTATAGATCATTCAGGACCATCTGCATGACATAAATATTTATTCCAGAACTTTGCTTTAATTCAGTGAGACTCCTGGGGACTATTAAAAGACAGAAACTGTTCCATGCTACATTAAGCAGTCCTAGACTACTTTTTTTAAATGTTAAAGCTGCATTTTATATTTTTCTCCTTTCTTATTGTTAATGTCATCTGCTTTTAAATTTGGCTATGGCTCTTTTCTCTACACATTAATACCAATACTTAACACGATTTGACAGGTACTATGCTAAGCACTTAATATTTATTACGTCTTAAGACATTTCATAACAAAACTATGAGGAGTGTTTTGTTACTGTCTTCATTTCAGAGATGATGAAACTAAGGCTTGAAGAGCATAAATAACTTGGTCACAGCTAACGAGGAAGTGTTGGTACTTGGGTTCAAACCCAAGTCTTTGCAGAGCCTGAGCTCTGTCTTACCTACCACACAGAACACTCTTCAGAGCTTAGACACTGGAGCCAGGCTCCTGTGTCCGAATCCTGTTTTACTTATTTGAGTGTAAACAATGAATTTTAGTTTTGTCCAAAATTTTTTAGAATTCAACGTTCAATGTTCCAGAAACTCCTCCAATCCCAAACTAAGATTGTTGGTCATTCTATATTTACTACAAGCATAACTATAGACACATTTCTTATCTCTTAGTGCTTCTGTTTCTCCATATATAAAAATAATAATAATAAATCTAGTAACAATCCATGACTTAGAGGTTGTTGTAAGGACTAAATGAGTTAGTCTACATATAACATGTATAATAATGCACTATTACTGTTTACTGCTATTACTGACTCGCTGTGATGCTCTTCTACTATGTTTTTTAGTGTTTTGTTCTTTTTTTGTCATAGTCTTACTCTGTCACCCAGGCTGGAGTGCAGTGGCACACTCACAGCAGCTGCAGCCTCGAACTGCTGGACTCTGGCAACCTTCTGCCTCATCCTTTCAAGTTGCTGGAACTATAGGCATGTGCCACCATGCCTGACAAATTTTTTAATTTATTGTAGAGATGAAGTCTTGCCATGTTGCTCAGCTGGTCTTGAACCACTGAGCTCAGGCAATCCTCTCGCCTCTGCCTCCCAAAGTGTGGGATTACAGGTGTGAGCCATCACGCCTAGCCTGCTCTTCTACTATGTTAAGAGGCTGCTCAGAAAATAATCACACTTGGTACAACTGTGCAGAAAGTAAGACTCCAAAGTCCTCATAGGTTCTCTGTTGAATAAAAGAGATTATCAATAAGGTATATCAATCCGGAGATACCAGTTTTTAGGTCTTCAGCATTTCTTGGTTGATTACAAGTTCTCAGTTTTCAACCAGCTAGATCCTATTGGCAGGTAGCTGAATTCTGGGTGAGTTAAACAAAAAGTGAGATTTCCAAATAGATAAAGTAGATGGAGCAGACATGGTTGGTTGCTTCTCAACGCCCATTTCCCCATTTCTTCTTTCCTGGCAGAGTCCTTAGTTTTTCCAAGTCCCCACCCTCACTTCACAGTCACATCCTTCAGGGGAAGCTCAACCTGGCTCCTGAAGGGGGGTGATGACTGCAACCCCACTACCCAGGCCTGACACCAGTTCAGGGTGGCATGTGGTCCAGTATGGAGAATTAGATGCAGAAGGCAGTCAGCTCTAGGCTTCTGAGAAAGGTTTCCTCTCTCTCAACAAAGGCATATGAGAAAATCCCTTTCCCCTCTGATGGTGACTCTGGGGCCACTGGAATCATCCTGAGACCAGAAGGGATGGCTGTCTTAAAATGAGCTCATGTTAAGAAGAGCAGAAAGATGGGGAGATCAGAACTGTTGGCAATCTAACCAAGTCACAGAATTAATCTGTCTTAGGGTTACCTTACCACTAAATTCCTTGTTTGTGAAATGATAAATTTCCTTATTGTTCAGTGTTATGGGTGGGACTGTTGACGCCTAAAATCTATATGTTAAAGTCCTAATCCCTAGTACCTCAGAATCTGACCTTATTTGGAAATTGGGTCATTGCAGATGTAATAAGTTAGGATGAGGTTATATTGGAACAATGTTATAGGCTGATAGCATCATAGGCTGATAATGTTGTGTCCCCCCAACATAGATGTATTGATGTCTTAACCCTAGTACCTCAGAATATGGCTGAATTTGGAGATACAGTCTTTAAAGAGGTGATTAAGTTAAAGAAGCTGTTGGATATGTATATAGACATAGAGAGAAGGTATTTACAGAGAAAAGTCACAGGAAAAATAAAACTTGATGATTCCTTGATCTTGAACTTCCAGTCTCTAGAACCGTGAGTAAATAAATTCCTGTTGTTTAACTGCCCAGTCTATGGTATTTTGGTATGCCAGCCTAGCAAACTAAGAGAATAATCCTCCCCTATCCTCAGAGGATACAAGGGGGGGACCCCCCAAAAAAACCACAAATTATCTTTTGGAGGGCAGGCCAGACCTTTGTAGTACAGGCTTACCCTACTAGGTAAGTGTTCTAGGAACCCATCAACATCAGTATACCAGCTAGCATTGTTGTGAGAGACTGCATTTGTCTTCAGTGAATTTTTGTTTTTTGGGAGATTTTTTGGGGGGAGATTCTTTCAACGTGTTTGCCCATTTCATGATAGGTGATATACAAGCACACCCGCCCACATCACGCTGAGTGTTCAGCAGTTTTTGACCAAAAACGGCATGACCCCCATGCCCCAGCCTCCCTATTCACCCGATCTCACCCCGGCAACTTTTATGTCTCCAGATGAAAAAAGTCCTCATATGGAAATGTCTTACTGATGTGGAAAAGGTGAACAAAAAATGGCAGAAACACTAAAAGGCATCAAAATCAATAGGTTCAGAAACTGTTCTGACAGTGAAGAAAGCATTTTGATAGGTATATTGCATCAAGTGGAGAATACTTTGAAGGTGACCAAAGTTCAAACATGTAAGAATAAATATGCAATTTTTTTTGGTGAGGTTTTTATTTTTATTTTTATTTTTTTTAATAATCAATATTTTTTTATTATGATGTTGTGGGGTACAGTTAAGGGTTAGGTATACAAATACGTTTCATTCAGGCACCCTATTGATTAGAGGTGCTTCCCCATCCCCAGACAGATATTTGCTCGTTAATCCCATCTCCCTCCCCCCCATAGTTTCCCACTACTGTCAGTCATTTTCTTATAGTATTAGGTTGGATGTTCAAGGTCCATTATATGAGTGAGAACATGTGATACTCAGACCTTTGTTTTTGTGCAAGGTCACTCAGTATTATAGACTCTAGTTCCATCCAGGTTGCTGCAAAATTCATGATTTTGTTCTTTCTTATGGCCGCGTAATATTCCATCGTGTATATGTACCACATTTTTCTAATCCAATCCTCTTTTGATGGGCAGCATGGTTGCTTCCAGGTTCTTGCTATTGTGAACAAGGCTGCGATAAACATATGTGTGCAAGTGTCTTTTTTGTAGAGTGATTTGTGTTCTTCCAGATAGATTCCCAGTAGGGGGATTGCAGGGTCATATGGGAGGTAGATATTTAGAGCTTTTAGGAATAGCCACACTGCTTTCCACAGAGGTTGCACTAGTTTACACTCCCACCAACAGTGTAGAAGTGTTCCCTTTTCTCCACACCCTCTCCAGCAGCTGTTATTTTTTGAGTTGTTGATAATTGCCATTCTGACTGGAGTTAGGTGGTATCTCAGTGTGGTTTTGATTTGCATCTCCCTGATGATTAGTGAAGTTGAACATTTCTTCATATGTCTGTTGGCTGCTCAGATGTCTTCCTTTGTGAAGTGTCTGTTCATGTCTTTTGCCCATTTTATAATGGGGTTGTTTGTTTTTTTCTTTGTTGTTTGTTTTTGAGTTCCTTGTAGATCAAAGATGTTAAGCCTTTGTCTGACCTGGTGTTGGCAAATACTTTTTCCCAGTCTGTAGGCTTTCTCCCTGCTCTCTTGATGGATTCTTTGGCTTTGCAGAAGAATGTCAGTTTAATAAGGTCCCACTTGTCTATCCTCTCTCTTATGACCTGTGGGTTT